AATATAAAATGTCGCTTGTACAATAGAAAATCACAATTTTCACCGATTCAAGACTTGTATTTGTGACAGGTATTTCAACTACGGCTCGCTTGGAAGGATTTTAAATGAAAAAACAAATGTTACGTTGTTAAATGTATTGGAAAAATAATTAAGATTGAAACCGATGCGGTGCGTTTAGACCTACGTTCATCTGCAAGTCGAACATCTTATCCTCTTTTATCAACAAACACTCCGCAAAACCCAACCCAGAAACACAGCGGAGTGAGTGAGACTCTGAGACATCAAAATGTCCGTACTCTCGCTCGCAGCTTCATCTTCTTCTTCCTTCATGCTTTCATCCTCCGCCACTTGCTCTTCTTCCCCAAAACCCCCATTCTCCTCCTCCTCAAAACCCCCCATTAAAACCCCATTTGTTGGGTTCTCGGTGGCGCCACCACAGAAGCTCTGGATTCCCTCCACCACCGACCTCAGCTTCAACAATGGAGGTTCGCCGCGTCGGAGCTTCGAGGTCTTCAGCAGTAAAACTAAGGACTTCGTTCGGGTCCCTTTGGATCAGCGATGGATGTTCGAGGACTACGAAGTCGACGGCCCTGTATGTCCTCACACTCGCGCTCTCTCTCTCTATCTCTACATATATATATTACGTATGTGTATTGGGTTGTGTTTGGTTTTTGATAGAATGTAGCAAAGAAAGTACTTTTTCAATTTTGCTTCTGAAAATTTTGAGTTAGAAATGTGGACCCAGAAAGCAAAGAAGAAAAAGGATTTGAATTTTAATGGTGGGTGTGCTCAAGACTTGTTCTTTATGCTTATTTCTACGAAACACCGGTTTACTAAGCTTGTTTAGCTTAAACAGTAACTTATGTAGTCTTCAATGTGAAAAATTGTGACCAATGGATAGTTTTAAAGAAAACTTAGTGTATTTTGTGTGTAGGAAACTTCTATTGATTTCTTCAAACATGGTTATTGAGTTTGAGTATATGCTTTGGGTCTACTTACTAATAATATATACATACATTTTTATTAAAGATTGTGTAAATACGCTATCCTAGAAGTTATTGATGTCAATATGTACTTTTCTTTGAGGCCAATGTCGATATGCACTTAGGTCCTTACTCAGGCTTTCCACTCTTTTTTTCCAGGACATTTGGAATAATACGTGGTATCCAAAAGCTGCAGACCATGTGAATACTGACAAGCCATGGTTTATCGTTGATGCCACGGACAAGATTCTTGGACGAATGGCATCCACAATTGCCATTTACATCCGCGGGAAGAATTTGGCGACCTACACCCCTAGTGTGGACATGGGAGCATTTGTCATTGTGGTATGTGGAGTGTATAGTTTATTAGTTATGCACATGCTTCTCTTCATTGTCATTGCTCTAGATGCAGACTAAATTACAATCTTCCCTGACTTATATGGTTCTGGCTGGGGAGTGGTTCTTAAGGTTTTGGTTATTGTGGACTTAGATATTTCTAGATCAATGTCTAGTCCCGACTTGAAATCATTGAAATGATATAATTCTCGTTGTGCTGAGAATTTCATTACATCTTCTTTAACAGCGTATATGCATGCATCTTTATGCTCTCTTCCATGTGCCTACGTACCTTGAAGTTGATTAGTCTTTGTCTATATTTTTAATCTGCTAGTTTATCCCTTTATATTTGGAATTGTTTGGTTCCTTCATCATTTTGTCGAGACTTGGGCTTGGTAAATTTTTTTTGGAGGTCCTCCATGGGTGTCTGGAAGATTAGTATTCACACAATCTGAAGCCTCTGGTGCTCCGAGTGAGACTATTTTATGTGATTTATGAGAAATGGCTGTGGTTACTGATATTGATATTGTTTTGGAGCTAAATGGGTCCAGAATCCAGAAAATGGGGTACTATCAATGTTTCCCAGTCTATTTATATGATTGTCGAGTGACTCTACTTGTATAGTTTCAACCATAAAATGTGATGATAAAACTGATAAAGAACTCAAGCACATACGAGACTTAGTATTTTTATTTTATAACTGCTAATGGTGCAGGTTTTCATAGAAGGCTAAGAAAGATATTTCTAGTGAGAATCACTTTTTCTACTATTGTTCCTTGTTTTCTTCTCTGCTTGTCGTTATTCTTTGGGTTAAAATGGCCGATGTTTTTATTTGTCTGCTCTCTGCTGTGTTATTAAAATTCTGGTTATTTTAGGTTGTATTTCGTGTCGACTTCCAGTGCACTTCCCTATCTCTTTCATTATACCCTTCCTGTGCTAGAGGAAAGGAAGGTCTTTTCAAGTACCGTTTACTCTCTACTGTGTAGGCTTCTGACTGTTCTCCAAATATTCCTTCATCCTTTTCCACCATTAGTGGTTTTGTGTTATCTTTACATTTCTATTTTTGTGTACTATGTCTAGCATCCCCTTGGTGTTTTTTAATAATACTTTGTCCTGATAAACATAAAAAAATCTCTCACAATTACACATAAAAATCAAAATGATAAAGAAGATAACCAGGGATTGAGCAAAGAAGAAATGCACGAATCGTAATAAATATTATCGACTCTCAATGTAGTCTGAAACAGTCTTAAAACATTTTGGTTCCAAAAAATTAGCGTTAAATCATTTTTGTATTCTCAGATGGGCATATGCTTTACTGTGGGGCAGGCCCAAAAATGCTTCTCTAAAGCTGTGGGTCTCTAGCAGACCGTTTTTTGATTTTTGTTTTCAAGTCTTGTATTGCTGTTCTCTCTGGTTCTCAAGGTTCTGGAATTTGCTTAACTATTACTTCTTTTCATGTTTCTCTTATTTTCGCTTCCAAATACTTCTATGCTTCAGTGGATGATTGTGTTGAAATTTATAGGTAAATGCTGAAAAGGTTGCTGTATCTGGCAAAAAAAGGAACCAAAAACTCTACAGGAGGCATTCTGGACGACCAGGTGGTATGACAGTGGAAACGTTTGACCAGTTACAGCAGAGAATCCCAGAGAGGATTATTGAACATGCTGTTCGTGGCATGCTTCCGAAAGGGAGGGTGAGTTCTTGTACTCAAAGTTATCTTCCTATATGCCTACACATACACAAAAGAAAGCTATATCTTTCATTTTGCATATATTTGATTGAAACTACGAAACTCATTCATAATAAAAGTATATGCAAGTGGTTCTCTTCTCTCGGCATGACTGTTGTGCTTGGCTTTACTATTGTTTTTCACTCTGCTACTGCTCTGCATTGTCCGTTCTGAATATTTCCTCTGAAACAAACTCTCTCGTGCAGCTCGGGAGAGCGCTTTTCAACCACCTAAAGGTGTACAAGGGGCCAGATCATCCCCACGAAGCTCAGATGCCAGTGGAGCTGCCGATTAAGGACAAAAGAATACAAAAACAGAAGTAGATTTGAAGCTGGATTCTGCAGCACTTCATCTATTTCATTTCCTGGGCAGAGTTTAATGCTTAAAATCGTTGGCTAGAACCCGGCTTTTTTCATGTTTATATTTTTTGCATGTGGATGTCGTTTTCAATATCAGGCTTGCTTGAATCTGGCCGGAAGCTTCCATAGGTTTCATTTGCTCTTATGTAATTGAACACGAAGATGAAATTATGTTACAACCCGTTTCAGCAGAGATTCTGTCTGCATGACAGATGTGCATCGTTGCTGTAAAAAATATCGATGCGTTTTATTGGCGGCAATGATATAAACACATTATTGATGAGATATCAATAGTTTGTTCCATAGCCAAACTACACGTTCTAGAGTTATTAGTAGTGAGTAGTCTGGCTAAAACAAAATTAAGAATGCATTTTCCGATTTTCGTGGTGGAATATGGTCATGTAACTGTGCCAAACTCATGACAAGAACAGACAAAAGGTGGCGAGATTACATACGCTCATAGCAAATGGAAAAGAATTTGGACCACGATGGTCCTGCAGTGGGAATGTCTCGTTCCGGATTCTGAATAACGAGGGTGTCAGGATACGTTGTTGTACTTTGTACATGGCGACTTTGGGAGGATTAATTTCAGTAACATCTCTTGAGATTTATTGTGTTTTCACATAACTCTTTTAAGTTTCTAAAATTACATTGACGCCCCTTGGATTCTAATATCGTTGGAACATCATTCATTGACGAGCTTTGACGCTACGTAAATGTTGGTTGTTTGTGATTGAAAAATCACAGTTTCGAGTCGTAGAACCAGTCTCTTTGTAAAGCAAAAATAAAGTTTTGTACAGTAAACATTCCCTTTGAAACTCGCAAACTGAGTAGCTTTATTGGGTCGTCCTTTTATCACTCATTGAGGTGGTGTTCATTAAAAGGTAATTGTAATTATTTTCTTGATAAATTAATGGCTAGATACTTGAACAAGAAACCCTAAGGAGTAAGAAGGATTCAAATGAAGTAGCCCACCGCCACGGACGTCTATAACTCACCAAATTCCAAATTGATCAGTGTAGGCTGTAGCAGTCTCTGATGCTTTCTTACTAACTAGTTCATACTTCGATGTCAACTATTAACGTTTCTTCTTTCGTGTGGTTAAGATATGAGAAATTTTTAACTGTGACAGGAACATATGGGGTACATTACATGTTTTAATATAAGTGATGAGAAATTTTATTTTTTTAAGTTCTTAACTTTTTAGCACACATATTTCATCATTTGTATAATGACAAGTGGTGTACCATCTCGTGTACCTGTTGCACTTAAAAATCTCTCCTAGGTACGAGCACCAACTGTCATCCCAACTGCTTTTTCCAATACCAATTGAGTTAGTAACGCTAATAATTAATTATTTATATCATGTGTCATCAATAAAAATAAGCATACTTATTGATGTTTAATTAATAACCCCATTGTCTAGTGATCGAATGGTTGAGAGTTAGAGTCGTGGTCTTTAAGGGCTGAGCTCTGGCACAAAGAAAGATTGTTCCTTTGTGATTGACAGATTATGAGTCTGAGTTGTGAAAATAACCTCTTTACAAAATAAGATTAAAAAGACTGTTTCCACCCAAAAAAAAAAAAAAAAAAAAATCCCACCCCCTTGAGTTTGCCCTTTTTAAACACTCGACACCACTAACAGGATAAGAGGTGGTGGTTGTTTTCAAACAGTCTTGGGTATTATCACTTCAATAAAGCTTTAGATGTATCTTCACGCATGCAAGTGTACTTTTGTATTGGATGAGGCTAGTTGACTTTGATGTTCCACGTCATCATCTCACACGTACGTACCCTCACAACATATTTATAAATACTAGAGAGTTTTAACGAAAAATTCACTTTAACGAAAAATCATATTTTTATACTAAAAAGTGTACTATTTACTTTACTCTTTATTTTGTTCTTATCATTAAAACTCAAAATTTTCAAACCCTTTTCACAAGTTTTCATTAAATACTACGGGTGACATGCCTTAACAAATATTCACACACACATCCACAATTCACAAAATCCATCAAATAACTTAGTTTCCTTTCCTCACATCATGATGTCCCCCACGTCGGTTGGAAACCTCATCAGCTGCATATGTCTAGCCATGGCCATAGCAACCATAGCCCAACCGGTGCTCGATACCGCAGGACGGGCTCTTCAACCCGGCATAGACTACTACATCAAACCAGCCATAACCGACAGCGGAGGCCGTTTCACTCTGATCAACCGAAACAATTCCTGTCCGTTCTTTGTAGGTCAAGAAAACGTCTCAGGCCCCGTGGGCTTACCCGTGACCTTTGCTCCATTTGCCGCGGGAGCAACTGTGGTGAGGGAGAGCCATGACCAAATGATCACGTTTTCTGCGTCCACAATATGTGGGTCCTCGACTGCATGGAAGGTGGGTGAGACTAATAGAATCACCCAAAGGAGGTTGATTGTCGCCGGAGCACCTGATGCATCTGAAGGGCTGCCTTATAGAAGCTATTTTATGATAAATAGGGTGGAGCCAGAGAGAGCTGGTGTCTACAGTCTGAGGTGGTGTCCCACTGAGGTGTGCCCCACCTGTAGGTTCAGCAACTATGGGCCCATCGGTGCTTTGGTTGAGAATGGAAAGAGGTTGCTGGCCTTGCATGGTTCTGTGCTTCCTGTTGTGTTTGAGAGGGCTTAAGGGATCGTCTTGTTTAAATAATCTGCACTCTTGTTTAGGGTTGATTGTTTTAATAACAGGGATCTGCATACCCTTTTCTTCCCATTATACATAAGTACTCTTGTAACAATTTTTATTTGATGTGTAATACGTAAGTTGTCATTAGTACTGTCATCATAAAGATAAAATTAATAAAAAAGATTCACGTACATTATAATTTTTCTTCTAAATATGTTGATGAAAAAAATTTGCGATTGAGATGAAGAAAGTAAAATCGCAATCCCACACAAGAATACACTCTGACTTAACGTGGGTCACTCATTGCGGACTACCAATATTCATTTGGTTTAGTATTTTGATTCAATTTAAGAGCTCTAAGTGTCAGAGTATAGTAGATTTTTTGTAAACTATGAGCGAACATAATCTTGTAGACAAGAATTACAGAGTTAATTACTTCAAAGAGTCTAAGGGGGGTGTAGTCAACTTGGATTTTAGAGGTTTTTAATAGACTTTTTTAAGTGACAAATTTTAAAAGATTTTAATAGATTTTGACAGATTTATATGGATTTCACTTATAGATTTCTATGAATTTGTATGGATTTTTTCATGGATTTCTTAGGAATTGTATCATGCCAATCAACGCAGTACCTACATATGCATTCATCTCCAATTTCTTCTCAACTACAAAACACTCCACACACGTACCCAAACTCAAATCCCCCATGTCCCCGCACGCTCAAGAACTGTTGCCAAAGTCATTTCATTAGGCTCAAATCCATAACCCCTCATTTCCCGGAACAACCCCACCGCATCTCCAGCACACTCCATCTTGCAATACACAGAAATCATGGAATTCCATGAAACCAAATCCCTCTCAATAATTTCATCAAACACTTTCCGTGCAAAAACCCACCCACCACACCTTGCATACATAGTAATCAAAGAGTGACTCACTTTTCCATCCTTATTCAATACCATCCATGATTTGTATTGGATTCGAACAACAACAAACACTCACAAGCTTTAATCGCAACCTTACCAGCAACAACATTGGATTGTTCATCCAATAAAGGCAAAGCACGAAAATCAAATCCATTTTGGCAGTGGGTGGGTGGGATTGTTCATCCAATATGGTAGTGGGTGGGTCACGGGGAAGGATGAGGGGTGGTGAAAGCAAGTTAGAGAAATGCATATTTGGAAACTAGTTATGTATAGATGTGAGCTGCTCATCGGGTTCTTAGGCAGGACAAAAAATGGGGAAGATTATTCCTCTTCTACAGACAGAATTATCGTTCTTGAAATGAAATCCTAGGGTGAATGTTGGATTGTTTATGACATTTGTTATTTATACTTCTTCTCTCAAATCCATCAAAATCCTTCACCCATTAAAATCCTATCAAATCCTTGATATTTTCACTACACTAAGACTTTTGAGGACTTTTAAAATCCTAATCAACTATCCATGAATTTGGATGTATTCTTTAAAATCCTTTAAAATCATAATTCGACTACATCATCATTTTAAAATCATTTAAAATCTCATTGACTACTCCCGAATTTTAAAGTCTATTAAAATACTATCAAATCCTAATTTGACTGTAATCTCCTAAAATAAGCTCAAGAGACAGTTTTCAGATTAAGGTGATGTGCCTCTTTTAAATAGACAAATCCACTCCTTAATTTATATATTTAAGCGAGACTCAAATAATGGTATTAACATGTATCAGTCTTGTGAGTTGTTTTTAGTACAAAGGATGAAACAGTATTCTAAAAATCCGCCTAGGTGCTGGGCGATGGGCTTCCATGGTGATTTTGGGCAAAACGTTCAATAAATCGGAAAGGGTCTAGGCGGTGCTAGTCGTTCCTCATCTCTTCGCTCTGCGCCTATACAAGCGTGCGATAGGGTTAAGTGACCTGCTATGAAGTACCCTGAACAAGGACCTTGACTCGTTCATCTCTATCACCACGGACGAGGACGTCGACAACATGATGGAGGAGTACGACCACATCGCACAGAATCAAAACTCAAAGTCGGCGCGTCTCTGCCTCTTTCCCAGAACTTCTGTGCATGGAAATGGAGAATTACCATGGTGGCTTAGAGGGAGTGATAGAGAAGAAGATAGATAGAGGGTTAAACGGAGAAGTCGAGGTGACTGATAAAGATTAGAAGGAGTTGTGCGGAGGGGAGATGGGCGGAAGAGAGATGGAGGGTTAGAGGGAGTTGTTTTGATTTGTTGTTTTTCAGAAGAGAAGAAGATAGAGGGTTAAACGGAAAAGTCGAGGTGACTGATAGAGATTAGGTAGCAGGGAAAATCGGGAAAGTGGAAAAAACTGCCTAGTTTTGTGTGAAAGTCTACCAGCCTCATAATAAAAACTGAAAATTTGATATTACCCCTTGAAACTATATTTTCCTCTACTAAAACCCATCTGCTTTTGTTTTCTTGAATAAAGCCCATTGACTAGCCTCCAATTAAACAAATTCTTTAATTAAGTTTGACTTTTCAAATTGTGTATTTTTTGAATGCCTAAACTACCCCTATTAATACTTGGATGAGGGTTTTGGATCAGTTACTTGTTATATCCATTTAATTAATTTTATATATTTTACAAAATAATTCATGCCATTCATTGTATATTCAATGTATTAACTTTCAAATTGTTATAACGTGCCAATTGAAAAATAATAATACTAATTTCATAATTTTGTGCATTACATATATAAGTTAATTTACCTACCAACACAATAATAAACCTAAAACAGCTTCGGCTAATATTCCAATCCCTAATACACAAAACAAAAGCTATATGTTCCGCACAATTCTTACCTACAAAATAGTCTAATTTACCTATTACATCAAACCAAAATTTAAAGGGTCTAGTTTACTTTCAAAATGGTCTAATTTACCTACATGATTTATGTGCATTAGATTAAAAGTTTATTTAATTGCCTACAAGTACAAACCCACAACATTCGAACATTATCTAATATCACTAATTTTTTTTTTTTTTGGAATAGGTAAATTAATTTAAATGTAGGTAAATTAGTATAATATTAATAAGTAGGTAAATTAATTTAAATGTAGGTAAATTAGTATAATATTTTATAAGTAGGTAAATTAATTTAAATGTTGGTAAATTAGTATAATATTTGTATGTAGGTAATTACATGATTCAAAATGCAGGTTTATTAGTATAATATTTTATAAGTAGGTAAATTAATTTGTATGTAGGTAATTACATAATTCAAACAATATTATTTTTTCCGTACAAGATTGTCTTTCTCTTTTAAATTTGGTAAATTAATTTATATATGTTGCTAATATTTATGATACAAGAAAGGTAAAATATCCATATGGATTTAATTGCTCATCATAATTAGGATGAGTAATAACATTTATTGACCAAATTAGGATTCTATGGCATAAGTTGTAATTGTATTGTAATAGTTGGTCATATATTTGTCTACATGGTAGACTATTTGAAATTTGGGTTTTATTTGAATGTTTAAATTTAGATGGGTTTTTATTTGGAAAATAGGAGTTTCAAGGGTCTATATCTAAAGAACCCTAATAAAAAAAACATAAACAATGGTTACCCACTGTCTATTAATAAATATATTATATAAATGATTCAGATAATATTTTAGTATTTGTTCTGTTTTAAAGTAACACTATATTATGTTCTTATAATATAATATTTTATCATTTTTTTCTTTTTAAGATCAGACTATATTATACTCTTGCATCATATATGTATATCTTTTTAAAAAATAACGTATTACTCAATGTTTATTTATCTATCATATAATAAATTTAACTAATTTATATGATATATATAATTATTTTACTTAAATCTGTTTATGCCGCCTAGTTGCCTAAGCGCTAGGCTCATTCCCGCCGCCCGATTAGCACCTAGCGCTTTTTAGAACCTTGGGATGAACGCAATTTTTTTATTTTTTATTTTTAAGAAAAAGGAGATTTAAACTTTGGTTTTTTACTAGACAATCAAAACATAGAACCAATCCCTATCTAGAGACACTCATTGAGTTTAACCTTTCAGAAAATTGGTTTAGGGCACAAAGTTCGTACCCAAATTTAATTAGGCACAAATAGACCATCGATCTTTTTATTTAATCTCGTTTAAACTCCGATTAATGTTTCTTTTGTGTAAAGGGAATTTTCGTGCCCTTTTAATTGTGCATGTAGTGTTTTGTGAACTCCTAATTTTTAACTTTGGGATATATGGAGCAAGAAATTGGAGCAACAAATATAGGGCAAGAAGTTGGATAACAGAAAGGAATAGAAAGAAAGTATCCAATCTACCTAACCCGTCGAACTTTGAATTCAAATTTAAAGGTAAACTTAATGATTTTTGGTAGATCTTCATCATAGCGATGGCATTTTTCATCAAAGTTGACTATTATTAGTATTAGATCGATGCAGCTAACTTTCAAGCACGCAACATTAACTTGTAATGAACAATACTTGCATTGATGCCATGAGGTTGCACCACTTTGTCTACTCATTGTGAGTAGCGTATTTTTATTGTATAAACCTTATAATCAGAATTGTTTATTTTCTTTACCTTTATTTAAAATCTTTATAAAATATATAATCATTCACATCAAAGATTGTTTCATCATTCATATGCATTGAACAAATCGATGGTTTTAGTATGATTAGTAATATACTCAATGAACCATCCATTTTTTTTTAAACATGTAGTGAATAGGACACTAGTACAAATAACGGCTTGTGCGACGAAGTATCGTTTGTCGCCTAAAGTAAAAAAATGTCACCTAAAAATTAGCCTGACGAAAACTTCGTCACACGCAAACCGTTGTTCAAAGGTCGTGAAAGCAAGGTTTGCGCGACGACAATACCTACGTCGCGCAAAAGGTCTTTGTGCGACGGCAATACTTGTGTCGTGCAAAAAGCTTTTGCACGACGACAATACCTGCGTTGTGCAAAAGTTCTTTGCATGACAACAATACATGCGTCGCTTAAAAGGTCTTTGCGCAACGACAATACCTGCGTTGCGCAAAGGTCTTTGCTCGACAACAATCCTTGACCCTATATGAATACAATGAATGATTTCAATCTTCAATTTAAAATATTTACACTAGTGGATACTACAAAATGTTATGTTATACTTAATGAAAGTATAAATAGACTCTAAGTGAAACTAGTTTCAACGATCCCACCATCAACTTGTTTGTATAT